TGTTTACTTTTAATTCGACGACACATTAATTTATTCTTTTTACCGAGTACGTATCCTCGTTTCTACGTGTCTCACTTCGCAGCTTAACCCGTTTTTATTCTATTTAACTGTGTGTATGCGCGCACGTACGTTTCCGGTGGATCTTCTCCGAGCTGTGTGTAGAAAATCGACGAGATTGAAGCAAAAAAAGAAAAAAAACAAAGAAAAACAAATGCAACGGACGAACGCGCACGTTCGCGCGTTGTTGTTGTTCGTCGATGGGGAAACCGTTGATCGGTTCCACGCATAATTATTTACGTGTAAGGAAGTTGAAAGATCGCGTTTTTCCGCCCCGCGAACCGGAACCGCTTAATTCGTGTCTCGAGCACTGCCGACTATGATCCTCAAGTAAAGCTGAACACAATTACAGAATAGAGTTACGGAATAATTCGTTCGAATCTCTCTGGTTCGTACTGCAATAAGAAATTATCAAAAATTTCGTGTGAAACCTAAAATTCGATCGGCATTGCTCGACGAGAAAAATTGTTCATCGCCGCGGCGAACGGAGGACCGGTTCGCGTCTGGTTTGATAGGTGTATCCGTGTGTACGCGGCTGCTCGGCCACGTGGCCGTGCAGTCGCGTGTCTGCCTGTGCGAGTGCCTGTATTTTTTTAATGCACATATCCGCGTATTTTTCCTAGATCGCCCGGGGCAAACAGATATTTATGAAACGCATGCCGCGGCACAGCGGCGCGGGGACAGCCGGAGCGACTGAGAGAAAGAGAGAAAGAGTGAGAGAGAGAGAGGGGGAGAGAACGAGAGAGAGAGAGGAACAGCAGCGACAGAAAAATGAACATAAGATTTCCTTTATTTTCATTCATTGTACGCAGTCGCAATGTACGTAAGGAGAACAGAGTGTAATATAAAAGTGTAAGTAATGGAAGAGATCCTGAATAATTTACTCGCGTCCTCGCAGATGTATGTATTCCGGGATGGGACATCGATGCTCGGTGGAAAATCAATCGAAACGGAGAACCTATGTAGAGTATATATAAACGCGAATCACGCGAACGTGCACGTACACCGCGCGCACGGACGAAAAACATGCAGACGCAGAGAGACGCGGCCTGTCCAACTCTTTCGCTTGGTATTTCCTAAGAAAGTGATAATAAAAAGACTTGTGGAAATCTGTTGATATTCAAATTAATCGTACTGAGATTCAATGTTCGAATAGAAATATCGATCCCGAATACCGCGCGGCGCATCGGTAATCTCGCCTCTCGCGTACACGCTCGGTTCGACCCGTCGAGCGAACAATTTTTATTAGCAGTTTCCGAATCAACTTTCTAGTTTTTGTTTGATCGTCGATGCACACGCCTCGCGGCAGCGGCATTTAATCGCGAGGAAGATCGAGACAACGCGTTCAGCCGGTTACAGGAATCGTTGATTAATTCTTTCGCAAGATCCAGCAGCTGTCGATATATCGAGCACGTGTCCTTTAAAGGTTAACGAAAGAAGGGAGGGTGCACCGATACGTTAGGATTCACGTGGAACTCCAGTTGTGCAAGTTGGCGCTCGAATCTATTGCAGGCTCCCTTTTGCTCGTCGATTTCACGCGATTGTCCGAGAGATAACTAGTCTTTCGAGCTGAAATATTCTTCGTTTCTCGTGTCAGACTTATCGCGTCGATTTCTTTGATCGACAACCCTCGCCTTACGGTGTATCGAGTGAAACGGAAGTTCGAAAGCGAACGTCAACGGTTGCTACTCGGGCAACGACAGACGTTCGAACGGCGAAGATGACGATTCTCGTGAGAAATCACGCTCATAACCGCGCGGAGAAAGGAAAACCTGAAGGGTGCTCGGTATTGAAGATCACCGGTGTTGTTTCGTTAAATGCAAATGAAGGTGCACGCGTTCGCGCGCATTAACGAGCGCGGCGAACGAACGAACGGCGTGCGTCTCGGCATGGGAACGCCGCGCGAGAACTCAGACGTTCGAACAGTAAGATTAAGCCTATAAATTTCCTCCTCGACTAATGGGAAAGACGGTTCCCTCGTACCGATACATCTGGTGAATCCTGGACGACCAACCGAACAATCTCAAGAGTTCGTTTACGCAGTCGTTCCACGTTAGCGAGAAATTTCCATCGCTGCGCTCTTGTAACGCGGATGGTGTCACTTTGCAAAAGGTACGACGAAACGTTCGTTTTGCTGCGCGACTATTAAATGTCTTGTTTTATAAAAAAAAAAAGAAGAAAAATATGTGTAATCTCGCATCTAGTGCAATTGAATCCAACCGAGATCCATGGTCCTCTCCTCTTCTCTCAATGCCAAAATATTGCGTCGAAGGTACCGCGAAATCGATTAGTTTTAACACTTTGCACTCGAGAATATTTTTCTCGACGAATATTCGTTATTTTCTGATGAAATATCAATGATACTTTTTGCAAGTAATATAAAGAAATATCTCGCATAAGTTAAGGAAGTACTTAGGTTTTATCATTTCGTTCGGTCAAATCAAATGGCGACTGAAAGGCGCCTCTCGAGTGCAAAGGGTTAACACTTTGTCTGCCATGCGAACACTCGAAACTCCCATATACTCGAGTTTTCTCCATTAACCAAAAACTGAGCAGTCAAGATTCTTAATAATTGCTTCACTATCTTATATCTCGTATATCCAAGAAAATTCGGTTCATTCGATACGTCGCCAAGAAGATGTCAAAGTTTCTGTGAAAAATAGGTTCACCCGAATTCAGTTGTGGCAGTCAAAGTGTCAACACTCAGGCGACGCCTAAAAAGAACTACAACTACAATGATAAATCCGGTTAGAAACTGTTTTGTAAAGACAAGAACCGTATTTGATGGATTGCAAATAATCCCACTTCGAGACTCGCTGAATAATAAAAAAAAAAGGTAAACAGAATAAAAGGTTCGAACAGCCGATTTAATTATTTGAACAGCAAGAGATCAGCACGTAGTTTCCCTATTTTCTATTGTCTAAACAATTGAAGAGTAATTTAACTTCATCCGGTGAAAGTTTCGTATGTTTCTAAGAACCTTCGTCCACAAAGGGTTAAATTAAAGGGTTAGTAGAATGAAGCGTACAAAAACGCCCGTAAACATAGCTTTACCGTATGAAATCAAATGGTGAGAGGCACCTCTCGATTGCAAAGGGTTAAGAATCACATTTCTGCGAGTCAAATCTACTTCTACGTCCTTTCTCGAACGCCAACGTTCTCCATGCTTCCGAAGGGAGTACTATTTCATTCGAAATAATTTAAATAACTTCGAAACAAGGACATCGTAAGGAAGAAACGTGCCCGAAAATCGACTGCATTCCCAACGCTGCCTCGCCCGTCGTTTTCCCGATTTCTTCGGCAGGTAGGCGAGTCTTGGTCAACGACACGCGTCCTCGAGAAGTCAGGTGTAAATCACGGCGGACAAGTCCGCGCGTGTATCGGCTCTCGCGCGATAACGCGCCTGGGAATCGCGCGGCGATAGCGCGCGTGGTCGCTCGCCTCCGAGTTGAGTCCTTTCTCCCGTCTCGGGGAAACGATAGCCGTTCGATTATGAAATCGTTACATCGCGCGGACGATCGGTATCGTGGAACCGTCCGCCGAGACACGCGGCACCGAGCGAACCGGTCGGAGTGCAGCCGCGGAGGATGCACGGCGAAGTCGTAAATTGAGACGCGAGCAGGGCTCGGGCGCACGTAGGCGGATGAGATACGTCGCGGAACGGAGGGTACCGGCAGACACCGGGTATCTTTCACTTCTGTCTGTCTCCGTGAATCAATTATATACTTTATAATGTCGCTAAGCGTTCGTTAATCGCGGCTATTACAGCCTCGTGCAAACCGCGGACGCCGGTGACCCCGGTGAACCGACGCGAGAGCTTCATTCACGAGAATTTTGAATATTCCAGCGGGCACAGTTTTATTTATGCATTCATACGGAAGATAGATGATGCTGGACGCAATGATTAACGACTGGATGTCATAGTTCTTTCGTTTACGTTGTTACCCAGTCAGTCGGCGCGTTAACGGTTACCGGTGATCGATTAACGGGAACCCACCCCATTTTTCCGTTCGATTGACAGTCCATCGGCCTAACTTCCTGTACGACGTTGGAGCGTATCCGCGTACGCGCGGAAGGGATCATCGGGCAACTGGTCTCCGAAATGAACTAGTGGTTGGCCTGAAGTGGCGTCGCGCTAATTAGCCGGGACAAGGATCGTTAACCGGAAGAGCGGCCGAGAAAATCTTACGAGTGAAAACAAACACGGAAATCGCGGTCGCCGCCGTGAGAACGATCGCGGGACGGTCGAACGATTTTCTAATATTAGCTCGGTCGTCGGTTGAATACGAAGGAGTTCACTCGACGCTCCTCTCCGCTTCTGTTCCACATTGTCCCAAATCCGAAGGGGCCACTCTCGGATAGAATTGTGCTGCGCGATCGATCCCTGGCTCTCCGCCAGCGATCAAAGACGAAGGACGACGACCCTTCGGCTGCGTCTTCTTCTTCGCCTCGTTCGTCACAATGACGAGGAGCTAAACGCTCCTACTAAACCACTCGAGAGAGCGATCAGTCTCTTCTCTCCCGCGTGTGTTCCGTGAAGTAGGGAGACGAGAAGAGCGGAAGGAGGAAGAGGAACGTCAACGACCGTATCACGCGGAAAGGTTCCATTATTCGAGTTAAGCCGGCCAGGTCGCGGTTGCTGCTCGAACGAGGGCAGCCACTTACGAGAACTTTTCGTTAGGCGTGCGGCAGATGGAGAACCAAGATAGAAACCCTTTAGAATTGTTTTATTGTTTGTTCGAACGAGTTCCATAAAGGATGTCTGTATCGCTGTTTCTTCCTACGTGATTCCATGATCGATCACGGAGGCAACTTTAGGGACGAAGGGCAGAAACTTAGATCTCGGACGTGTCTTGATCAATCGATCGAAGATGACTCGCGCTAGGGTGCAACGACGCTCGACGCCGTTCGATCTACGAGCGATCGGCGATCTCGATCGATCCGGACGAAAGGGATCCCTCGATCAGCTACCGGAATGCGAATGGGTTCGGTGCGAAAGGACGGAATAAAAGGGTAAAATGTCATCGTGACTCGGTTCTACCTATGAAAGAGCAAACGCATCCTATTAGCGGTTCAGAGATCGCATTGTTTGCCGGTGTGCCCTTAAACGAGCGAAATCTCATCCATCGTAACGACGTTGGCCTTTGAATCGCGTGCCAAACGGATGGCGATAAATCCCAACCGTCTTCTTCGCTCGCCGAGGAAAATAATCGCAAGCGAATACGTGCAGGCACATATGCGGAGACGAGACTGCGCGCGCGCGCGACCGAGACCACGTTTCGAGTAATTCATCGAATACGTCCAGCATACGACAATCAAGGAGATACGCAACGATAACGACTCCATGGGATTTTCTGCTTTACACCGAATCGAGATGCGTCCGTGGCAGCGCGCGCCATTGCCAGCTCGATGTGTGGCAATCTCTGAGTCTTCGAAGCCATTAGCTTAGTTGCTTGTTCGCCATTAGCGAATCTTCGGATTTCTTAACGACCACATTCTCCCTTGAGGTTCTCGATCCTAGAAACATGCTTGATAATCGATTTTTATTTACGTACGATCCTCGAACCATCCCCTATAAATCAAAGACATCGAGGACAAAAGGTTCGTCTAATTTCTATAAAATCCGCTCCTCTAATTCCAGTGTCCTCTGAATTAACGAATCGTCTTCGCCGGAAATCTCTACCCTCGGAACCACGCAAATTAACGACGCTCGCCGTGCTCGATATTGGAAATCGTTTGTCGCCGGTTGAAGACGCCGTTGAATGCCCGCCGATGGAGGAGCACAAAGAAGCGCACACGCCGAGAGGAAAAAAATGGGAGCTAGAGGAACGGTTACAGGGAGGGAATGCATACGACGTCTTTCTGATCCCTCGCGGGAATCGGTCGCGAACCAGAGGGGGAAAAAACCGTCGTTCTTCTGGCTGGCGGACAGTATCGGGTATATAAAAGCTCGGCGGACGATCGGGCGCAGATGTTGTTAGCAGCTTCTGAAATCCATCGATTGCGTCGCGGGCCGAGCAGTCGTCGCGTGTGCCTCGAGGGATGCCATTTCGTGTGCCGTCAGTGTGACCGATCATCTGGCGACGATGACCTCTCGCAGAGTTGTGCCTCGATCACTGGTACGTTCTCACGGATCACAGCTGGACCGGTATTTTCGTGGAACGCAACGGCGACCGGGAAATTCCTTTTCGGCCAACGTGCACGTTCTAACATTAACGTATCGAATCAGTGGTATCGGACCGAGTGATCGACGAGCTGTTCACGCGAGTTGGCTTAGACGGGTTTGGATTACGCGATCGAACGGAGGTTTTCGAACGGTACCGTGTACTCTCGTCGAGCTTCCGATCCGTCGGACGAGTCGTCTCGGACGTCGAAGTCCGTTTTTCGGTGATTTCGCGCGCCAAAC